TTTTTATGTTCGTTTACATGTTCTGCATTTACATTCGAAAGTTATTCTACGTCATTATAAAACATGGATTCATTATTAATTGGCCTCACAAACTATCTAATATATTTTACCTGTTCTTCGTGTGCTGACCATATTCAACGTTAAGTATACTTTTTATGACTCGAATCAAAGTAAATTTACATGTCTATAACTTTCAATTAATTTTATATTTTTACTTTTAGTTTATAATCACCTACTAGCTTATAAACTAGTTTATTTTCTCTTTTTTATTCTCTTTTAATGAAGCCTAAGTTTCTAAAGAGTATATTTCCCATAGCACCCACCACGTGATGACTTCACCTTGTATGACTAAATAATTCTAACTATTTTATGATCATAAATTCCAATATAATAATTATAGTTTTCATAAAATAAAAAATCTTTTGAAATAAACTCACGCATATAAGCCGTCTTTTTTTTTCAAATACAATTTGTGGCTTGCCAATGCTGGTTGCCTTCATTGAATGACATTAAGTCAAAATTCAATGTCTATGAAGGGGTTGAATTAATATTTTAATTATTATAGTTGATTTTTACGTAATAGTATAACATAATTGCAACAAATAATGTCTCTAATAAGCTGGTCCAAATTTTGATTTATTCAATATGACGCTTGAAACTTATAGCAACCATACGTTATAAAAAGCTCAAAGTCCAATCAAAACCAATTATACCATGACAAATTGATTATTAAACGTTAGTAATTAAAGTCCTGCACAAATTATTGGAAATGTTCCAGACTAATATTCCTTCACACCCTATCACATGACAGAGCCCGGGATGTAAGAAAAGTAAGACGACATTTGTTAAACGTAAACAACAAACATTACATGAATATAAAACATGAAAAAATATGTATGTCATATAGTTTCATCGTATATATTATACTCTTGTATACCACCATGATATATAACCGAATACACAACCTATATTAGTTAGATAACATCGTAAGACCATGTTTTATTAAACTTAAATTAAACAACAATGAAAATGTTATTTAAAAAATTATAGATAAAAAAGGTAATGTATTGAACTTTTTTTTCTTTATAAATATTCTTCTCTTTAAATTTCTAAGATATTTTTCAAAAGCAGATTTATGTTAAATTTTATTTTTAACTTGATATTTCAGTTGACATTCAAAGTTTTAACAATTATATGTCATCTTGTGAAAAAAATATTTAAAAATAGACACATCAAACCAATATTTTATACTAATTAATAATGTATAAAAATAAAACTTATTTGTATCTATCTTAAATATTTTATTTCTTTTTTATTTGTGTAGCTTAAATGAAAATATGTATTTCTTTTGTTACTTAACAACATGTCATGTTTAAGTTCATAAAATGTCAACATTTTAAGTTTGTGTTGATTTGACTTGTCCACATCGATTCATGGGCACTCTCAAAATATAAGATATGAAAAAGGAATAGCACATTCATGCCGCTTATGTTAAATAACTAAGGCTTGGAATTCAAAGTCAGTTCAATTCATGCAAACACTTTGATAAAATAATAGTCATCATCTCCATCATATAAATCTACCTGGGTGATTAGTAAACGTGTTAGTTGGTTATAACATAAATTATATAAATAAAATATTTAATTAATATAAATATATATATATATATATATATATATATAATATATATATATATATAATATATATATTTATTAATGTATTCTATTTTTGTTTACACAGTGCCTCTTGAACATTTTTGGTTAATTAGGGGAAAAATTTTATGTTACTAATGTATATTAAAATTCATTATATGAAACTTGTGTACTCTTGTCTAATGTTGATTTATGGTTAATGTTTTTTTTTCAGATGTGATTACATATTATTTTAAAATTATTATCTTATTTTCATTAAAATTGGTTTTCAAATATGAAAAGTTTATTATTACATCATACAAGCATAACATCTAAAAAACATTTGAAGACATAATAAATAGCATTTAACATTACCTTAAAATTATGATTGAGCTTTATTGAAACAAAAACATATGTTTCATTTAATACAAACTTCATTCCTATCTTATTTTGCAAAGAAAAGATTTTTTTTTGGAACAAATTTCAATTTTCTTGTGAGTACATAAGTTGATTTTGACACTGCATTTCAACTAACATCCGATGTTATTAATTTCATAAATTTAGGGCTTGGGTTGATCCACGCGTCAATTTAATAAATTCAGATAGTTCATTCTATCTATTAATTTATTTCAATTTTTTCAACATAATATTTCAATTTATACAACTTTGTAGTATTAATAAAGATAAAATCTCTCATTTTAATAATTAATTATTATACTCAATACCATTCTTACGTCTAAATGCCAAATTCCAATCAAATAACAAACACCATTATAACTTTATCCATTATTCCAACTAAATTAATTTTAATATACTTTTTAATCCTCTTTCGTTTATGTTCATTTAAGTTGAAATTAAAAATTAAACTTGAAAAGTGGACATAGAAACGAAATTAGAAAAAAACTTAAAATGGACCAATTCTTCATTTAAATCTAACAATTAATTAGCATTGGTTATTTGATTATAAATGGACTAATATAACACTAATCAGCCTACTTGGAATTCCTACCATGAATTGAGTTTTAATTTAATTAGGTTTGAGAAAATATTTTTTCTTAACTTAAATTAATTATGAGACTCCAATCTCATCAATTAAGACAGAAATTCAAACCATTTTATACCTAACCTCAAATTAATTCAGAATTGTTCTAAACTCTGAAACATTGCACAAAAATAGACAAGAAGAATGGAATATAAAAAGCAGAGATGATTCACTGAAAATTATATATTAGTGATACATAAAAGAGAACATTGACCATGAACCTTAATTTATGGTTGCAAGTCAATTTACAAATGTTTTCACATTAAAATTCATATAAATCTTTATCAAATTTGTCTAGACTTAAAAGAAATTCTAAAAATTAGTAAGCAATTAAAATCCAAAGAATCATGACTATTTTAAAAGTGAATAATTATAATACATAAAATTAATAACACATATGCACTGCTATGAGTAACAACAAACCATCAATTTTTGTATTACAAAAATTACAAAACTAAGGTATTTATAAAAATTTAATGTATTATACTGGATAAAAATGGTGAAAGATAAAATGTATGAAAAGTCAATTGAAGAATAGTAAGAGTATAAATGTGATTAAAAAGTATGAGTATAATAGATATGTTGAGTAAATGTTCTTGTTTGTATATAGTATTGGAGTAATTCCAGGGTCATGTAAATGTTATTGCATTCTTGGTACCTTCTTTCTATAAAATCATTGATGAAAACATGGAAATGAATAACATGTTGAAACCTTCTTGATATTATATAGTTTTTGAATAGGGATTTTTAGTGTGATAATTATTTTATCAATTTGAGAATTTTGTAATTGTCTTAAGGTTGAGAAATATTGTGACATAAAATGTAGTAGATCTTTAATAAACAATCAGTGATATTGTGCTTTTTTTATAATATATAATGTTAAGCTATCATGCATATAATTTTTTTACAGATATGCTGAATACTTGTTTTTATATTTATTCTTGTGAAAATGATATGTCTGGGTAATTTTTCTATTTTTTTTTAATATAAAAACCATATGCTTGGATATGTACATACAATGTGATTTATTTAAGAATTTACACCAAATTAATTAATTTTTTTAAAATTATAATCTAATTGCATCAAATATAGATTAATTAGTTAAATTTTATGACAAATAGTTTAGTATTAAATTTATTATCATAAATTAATAAATCCAAATCAAATAAATAATTATTATTTATGAAGTTCTATAATGATGATGATATGATTTTCATTATTATTGAGTTAATGTAAGATAATTATAACAGGTTAACCTTTTCAATAATAGAGTTATGTGTGATTTATTTTTTGATAAAATTACATGTTTTTTGAAAAGAAAACACTATACATTTTCAGACATCTAAATCCAAACCAATTGAATTTTATTTGGTTAATTTTTATTTGGATGGTAAAAGTTATTAACAAATTTATACCAATCCAAATTATTAAAAGTTGGCTAATTGAGTTTTATGTTCTCATTTATCCAAATCAAACTAATACCTAAACACCCCAATGCAGTATAAAAAACGAGTAATGGTAACATATATTTTTATATTTATTTGATATTTGATACAGAGTTTAAGAATAAAATAATTATAAAGATATAATTTGTTGTATTTTTTTAAAAAATAAATAAAAAATGAATAAAAATAATGTCAAAAGAAAATGTAGGTATATCAAAAAATATTTTTGAAAAAGTGTCCATCTTGTTCATATATAAAAAAGTAAGTCACGTAATATTAGAAATCACGGTTTAAAATTTTAGTACGATGTAACAAAATTAATTTTATATAATTTTTTAATTACAACGTGGACAATGATAGAAACCACTTATTGGGATGCATGGTTTAATTTCATATGCAAAAAGTGAGTAAACTGGGTTCGTGTACTTGAGAGTGGGCGTGTAACAATTGTCTGAAGTGAAATAGTGTATCAGATAAGAAAAGATAAAAAGCGAACCCTGTCATTGTAATCATTTAAAACTGTAAATAAGTTGTCTGAGAACAAAAAGTTGGTTTCCTGTGAAGAGATTTTGTAAAAAAAAAAAGTTGGTTTGTTCATCTTTGCGTGGATTGTTGACAAAAAGTATACATCAAATCGATCCATTAAGTTGAGAATTTGGAATAATCTCATCTTCAAACCTAAATGCTGCTTTGTCTTTATCATCTCTGAACTAAGCTTCAAAATCTTGCCTTGTACCACTCAAACTTTCTATCTCCCTTTATCATCACCCACCCATTTCATTCCCACTTTTCAACTTATTTTTAGCAGCAACCAATATTTTAATCCAAAAAAAAATCACTCAACTCCAATTCTTTCTTTTTGAAAACGAATTTAGTTCAATAAAAGTTAAAAAATATATATATTAATTAAAATAAAGTAAAATAAAATAAAAACAGAAGAAAAACCTGTTCTTTCTTTCACAAAAGAAAGAGAAAAAATAGTATAAAAACAAAGGCTGTGCTGTGTACTCCACGTCAACCGGGTGGTGGAGGTGGAGGAGGATAACTACTCGTATCTGACCATGACGAAGGTGGAAACTCTGACCCGCTACCACTGTCCCCTCCGCCGTGATGCTGTTGCCCCGGCGGCCGGAAAACTCCCATTTGCTGGCTTGAAAACAGAGGAAAGGAAGCAGAGGATGGTGCATACGCAGGCGGTAGCGGCAACAATGACGATGAAGAGGATTGAAGCGCTGCCATTTGCGAATCATAGAACCACTGATCGAGTCCATGGAACTCCCCCGTGCTCCGCAGAAGCTGAGAATAACCCCAATAGTCTCTAAGCAAATCAGGGGAACTCTGAAGCGGTGCCCCCTGCATCACCGTCGGAGAATAACCAGTCACCGCTGGAACATCACCGGAGCCCGAGAGTGAGGTGGCCGGAAAATCGGGAAGGTGAGGAGGTCGAACCGCGGTAACGTTTTCGGGGAAGTTGAGTTTGGCTCTGTTACCTCTGAACCTCAATGCGGCCTCATCGTAGGCTCTGGCAGCAGCCTCGGCGGTGTCGAAGGTGCCAAGCCACACTCTCGCCGCTTTGTGAGGATCGCGAATCTCCGCCGCCCACTTCCCCCACGGCCTCTGCCTCACCCCTCTGTATCTCCTCCTCCTCTCGCCGCTTTCTTCCTGTGACGCACTCCGTGACGAACCACCCTCACCCCCACTCGCGGCAGCAGCAGTGTCACCTTCACGCGCTCTTTTCTGCCCAACCGAGCCCGAGCCCAGAAGAGGAGGCCCGGGAGAAGAAGACAAACCCGGAGAAGGCGCATGCATAAAACGTGGCACCATGGGAAAACCACTTGCCGGGACCCACTCCGTGTTGGTTTGGGCAGAGGAAGAGGGTGACACCACATGGGTCGGAACCGAACCTACAGTACCCCCTTGCACTTGCACATCCCTTGGGGTGAAAGGCTCTCCTGGGTCCGCCGCGAAGTTTCCCGAAGCGGAACCTGAAGCTGAAGGTCTCTGGTGCGCCACCGTTATACACACGTGCGATCCGATGGAGTTGATTATTCGTTCTGAGAAAGAAAGTTAAACACGTTATTGTATATATATATAAGGATGGGTAAGCGAAATGGAACATGATGAAGAGGTGGCTAGCCCCCACAAGAACAGTGACCCTGTTGCGCCTCTATTACTCTACCTTCCACCATGCATACACTTAATTAAACACACTCCACTACCAATACCTTTCTTTCCTTTTATTCTTCCCAAATATAAAACAACAACTTAATTCTGCAAATATCAAACTCTACCCATAAATTAAGAAATATACATGTGCTTCCTGTTGCCGCCTCTCTGCTTATTTTCGCTTCTCGATTCACACACACCTTATCAGATTTTGACTGAAAATGAAAGCAGGATGCAAAATCAAACTACTATCTGCACTTTCTGCAAATCCTTCCCATTGTCGGTTTCCTTTTTCAGATATACAGAAACAAAGAAATAGTGATCATCTTTGAGTTGAATTCTATGCCCAGTCAAATAAAGAGAGAGAGAGAGAGAGAGAGAGAGAGAGAGACAATATATTTACATACTTTAATTATTTTGGGCTCCCCTACTTTAGATCAGCCCATAGTTAACTCACGGATCTGGTTGAAAAAGATAACACTAAATAAACTCAAGATGTGCTTAAATAAGGTAAATATGTGATAAGGCTTCACTGTGGATTAGGCTCCGAATCACTGCTCAAATATTTAATATCTTATTCATATATTGAACTCCATATAATATATATTTTTAAATATGTTTATCTTTTCGCTGCCATCAAATTTTATAAAATGCTATATACAAAGAATTAAAAATTGAGATTATATTTGGAGAGTTGTTGTTGCAAAGGAAGGTGTTGTCGAGGAATAAATATGTGATTAATTGTATGGTCAAAACACGTCTCTGGAAGAAGTGAGACAAGAATTCCATGCATGATTGTATAATGTTAAGTTAAAATAAAAGGAAAGAAATGCAGCATTTGACCTAATATGAATAGGTAGGAATATAAAAGAGGAAGGTGAGGGTTAAATCCAAACATCTAAGTTAGGCATCCATACCGAATTGTTGAACTTCAACAGAAGGTTTTTGAGAGGCAATGCATGTAGCGAATGATCCAAACAAAGACTAAGACCATGAAATTTACAAGGTTTCGGGTATTGACATTGCTTTTCATAATTAGCTACTGGTCTTGTTTTTATAAGAGAAGAAGAGGTTTTGTATCTATAAGGAGTGCCAAGTAGAAAAGCACATGCATAAATTGAAATTTATTATAATTAGATGATAAAGATTATACTGGAATCAAAGTGTGGATTGTATGAATTATATTGTTTTAGACTGACTCTTTGGAGTTATATGGATCGGTGGGGCTTCTCCTCATAATTAACTCATCATTCAAAAACAATAAAGACAATTTTCTATCCCATCCCAACTTATATATTTTCCTTTAAGCAATTTTTATTATCAAATTTAACTCTAATCCAATATTATATGATTATTTTTAAAAGTATTTAATGATATTAATAGAATAATTATTATTTTATAATTTACAAACAGTTTTATCTGATAAACTCGATTTTTTTAATGAAAATCAAATTTTATTTTATCAAATTTAAATTTAAACATTCTTATATATCATAATATGATTAAATATCTAACTAATATAAAATCTCCCATAATAGTTAGAGTTTCTATTGGAGAATCATAGTTCGTATAAACAAACTACAAATAAAGTTCTAAAATCACAGTTAAAATGAGATTTTCAATGTTAGTGGAGAAGTCAGATAAAATGGATTTCACTAAAGTAAATTAAAACTAAGTTAGATTTTTTAAAAATAAAATAAAATTAGTCCGTATTTATATATTTTGCGGCAAAATAATGGGATTTATTCATTATAAAACTGCTTTCAAATTAAAATAGTATATTAAATATCCATTACTCGTCAATAACATTGTCAAATTAAAAATGAAATTTAAACTCATTATAATAATACATCTATATGTTGTCATATTGTATGTTCACTTTGCTTTCTGGTAATTGTGTTTTGAAATATTAAAATAAATGTTTGATATTTTTTTTCTTTATTTTTTTAATATTATTATTTTACGAAAAAGTAACAATTGAATCCATGTACATTTCACGAATTGCAAAGAAATAAATTCAAATATTTATTTAAGATGACATATTTTAATTACAAAAAAAATCTTCTAAATATATTTATTTGTATAAAAATAGTGAATGCGTACTTGAATAATTGAAAATATTTTTACAGTTTTTTTTACCTTATATTAAATGAGTATTTTTTTTAAATGAAACAGTAAGTTAAATGATAAAATAATAAAAAGTACACACAGTCATAATGGATGTATTAAAAACAATATCATTATGCAATGTATTATTTATAAATTTTATTATCTTTGATTGAATTATTACATACTTTAACGATTTTTTTTATCGTGCATTGGGAGAAACAATAAATATTTTTAAACAATAATTAAAATACCTTAAATTAAAATATTTTCAATTGAAACATATTTAGGCTACAAAAATTAATGATACATAAATTATATATTGTGTTTAATTGGCACAAAAAAGATATTGAGAAATGTTAGGTTAATCATATTCAATTCCTATAAATATATGGTTTGATTAAAATGAATTTGTTACTGTCTTAAAATCTTAGAGTTTAACAATCAAGCTTTCATTCTTCAATGTTTCATACTATCAATTTGTATGTGAAAACCTTTGCCAGAAAAAAATTACTATAACGAATCCAACAAAATCAGTTCAAAAAAATGTTAGAATTACAAATCAAACACCAACAAAGATAATTTAATAATTGCCGATAAAAAAAGGTTAATCATTTAAAATCTTCCATGTCAATTATTTTAAAAAGACATTCCTTTACTAAATTTTAAGAATATGTAATATATAATGTACTAGCCAGTCCATACATTATTTTAACTTAATACATAATGATTGCTCAAATTAACCAATAATAATATGTTAAGTGAAAAATACCATCACCTAATTGATGTAATAATGAAAAACAATAGGGCAGGCAGCATGTATGATGCTTCTCTACCTTTATTTTCGTGGTGGGCATTCATTTTCTGAATGGATATTTTTTTCTTTTACTAACTCATATCCAGATGGATGTAATAATTTAAAATTCTTAAAAAATTAATACAGTGTTTTAATAATATATCAAGTTTGATGAGGCTCTATAATAATTTATGTAAAAAATTTGTATCCGTATTTATTATTTTAAACTTTTATCTAATTTCAAACTGGAAAGAAAATTGTAATATCCAATAAAAATTTATTCATATTAAGTTGTTTATCGTACAGAAGATTTTTTTTTAATCTGATTATAACAGATAGTTTTATTCAAGTGAATTTAACGTCAAAATTCAACTTAAAACTTTAAAATATTAGTTTTATTATTACTCTCTTTTTTCTCCTACACAAAGTATAACATGTCTTTAATTTACACTTTTTGTCGCGTCTCAATTAAGTTTAATTTTGAAGCATGAAAAAGTACACTTTTAATTAATCTATTTTATTTTACATATTTTTAAAAAAAGTTAAAAAAAACATTTTTAATCATACGATTACACAACGATATATAAAAAATTTATATTGTAAGTATATTCCAAATAAATTATTCTCAGATTAATTATGATAAGAAAAAAAGGTTGAATTTAACCTAAAATAAAAAAATTCATAAATCATAAATAATAGAAAGTTAAAAGAAAAAAAAAAGTTAATGTGAAAGCAATATATGGAAATTGAAATCCGTGTCTATACGGTACTACATCCTAACCCTTGAAACATTTCGAAATATGAGGAGTCATGAACCCGTTTGACAGACAAGTAGCCAAACTATGTTTTCCACTATGAAGGGTGCAAAGTGGCTGGTATAACCACCCAAACACTTACATATTTATAGTGGGTCTCAATAATTCTACTCGTTAAAATATTATTAAAAAAATATTTTAAAATGCTAAAATGGTATAAAAACATTTTAAAATAAACATATTTTTACTTTTAATTTATTTATTAAGATTTCTGAATATTATATTACCAGAAGGCACCGACCGGTGGTCGACACGTGCAGGGTGAGGCTTCTTCCATCGTTTTCAAGAGCACAGACCATGCTGTATCGTTCATTAATCATTCACCATTGTTAGCTTTCCGAGTTCATTTTTTAGGTTCCAGTCCGTTTTAGGCACGTGTTTTTTTTGTTGTCTTCTACTTTCAGAGACACCAATAGCATAATTCAAACTTTTTTATTTATTACAATTCATTTTAGGAAAGTTCTTTGAACTTGACCAAATGAGCTAGATTGCCCAACTTTTTTATTTTATAAAAAAAATTCAGATACATAAAATGAAATAAATTTTACATATAAATTAACATGTAGAAAAAGTTTCTCAAAAATATTTTAAAAATTTGAAAGTTTTATTTTACATAAATTAACTTTTAACTGTAAAAAAAGTTAATTTCACTTCTTATATATATATATATATATATATATATGTATATATATATATATATATATGTATATATATATATATGTATATATGTATATATATAGAAATAATCGTTTGACATATCCCTACTTTATTATTCGCACTGCATTATAGAAACTTTAGGTAGTTAAATAATATAATTATAACACTTAAAGACATTATATGAATGGTCTAAGTGGAAGAGTACGCCTCAATTATAATGCTTTTAGAAATAACAAATTGATTGATGAAGAAAATGTTTGGTGTTATTGGTGCATGTTTGGCAATCTAGATTGTAGTTGGTTTTTTATTATGATTTTAAGCATTAACTAGCTTTTTTGACGATAACTAAAGTTAAAACTTATAATTAAAAGTTAATAATCTTCTCGTTTCGTTTGACATTTTAGTAAAAGAAAAATATTTTAATTGCCATTTTACATATAATCAAACTATTGAATACATTTTTTTCTTATCATCAAGTAAAAGAACGAGAGATGGTGTAATTAATATAAATATATATATATATATATATTAGAACATGGTGTTATTCTATCGTTTACAAACAGGTAAGCATCTCTTCTTATAGTTTTACTGTAAACCAAATATCTAAATGAGATCATTTCTTACAAAAACATTTTTTACACAATACATCTAACTATGAAGCATTACATAATACTAGGATACAACAATGACCGAGTTATGAAAATAATATTTTTTTCTTTAATCAAAGAATACGTAATCTTAATTATATATATATATATATATATATATATATATATATATATATATATATAAAATTTAT